TCAACGAGTACGAACTGAGACGTTTCCAAGCTTTAATTGGGTAATTTTCATGTTATTGGAAGGTATCGAAAGAGTCACCGGCGGTAATCAGTGAAAGTCGCGCCCAGGTCAAACCTCATACTTGTGATTTCCATTTGAAGAGCGCATTGGGTTGTGGGAAAATCAATGTTTATCAACACAAATGTGGCACATGCGCAGCGCGACGACTACCGCGCTTTAAACCCGTGGTGAGGAAGTTGATGTAATCTGTCGGGTAAAAATTACCGAGCATAACGAACAGGAGCACCAATTCAGAGACGTGAAAGTGTGTGTAATCAATATCCGATTTTCTGTCTCTGTGATCGCTTAGAAATAAGTACCAAAAAAAGAAGCATTACTTGTATACTGAGAAATAAAGTAGACCACGCAATTCCATATATTGCCAAAGAAACAAATAATTATGCAATTATCGCTGTTGACGCATCGTCCGAATCGCGCGGTTACGGTTACTATTCCCAGACTTGAGAGATTTGATTGCAGCCAAATCGAAGTAGTAAGATAATATTGCCGACGATTAATTGGCAAGAGTTCCTTTTGTACTCCTAACCCTAACTCTAACACTCACTCCCAGTTACCCAATTCATTTGTATATGCCCCCTCTAGATAACTATCGATGTCCTTAGGAGGGACATGTACAATTAAATAGGAATGTTGAAGTGTAGGGTTAGGGATGAGGGGGAACAAAAGGAACTCTTTCCTAACTCCCCCTCCCCCCCACACACAAATCAACCTTTTTTTATTTAAACCCCAAACTGCCCCAACCGCCAGTTAGAGGATGGTAGTCGTCGCGCCGCGCACGTGCGACATTTGTGTGGATAAACATTTATTTTCCCATAATCCAATGCACATTTTTAATGAAATCACGAGTACGAGTTTTGCTCTGGGCGCCACTTGCATTAATTACCGCCGCCAACTCCTTTGATACCTTCCAAACGCCAACAAAAAATTACCTAATTAAAGCTGGGTAACCCCTCACTTTGTACTACTTGGTGTGCGCAACAGTCAAAATCACCATCATCCGACGAATAAGGAGTCAGAGTCGGTATTTAGTGCAAATTGCGCATAAGTCGAGCACTTATTCATGATTGCGATCGGGAAAGCACATTTTACTATGGGAAATCGATATTTTACAACACAAATTTTGCAAATGCCGGCGCAACGACAACCGCCTCTCACTATGTCGGTAATACTTTTGTTGGCAACGATACAAATCGGCTTGGTCAGAAATTGATTTAACCACAGATATATGTTGTTACATTCACCTACGTTTGCCAAGCGTGGATATATAACAATTGTAATCTTAAATTTGTTTACTTCATTTCAGGAAAACGGCAAGCAAGAGGAGATCTTGAACATCCTCAAGTACGTCCGCCCTGGTGGTGGGTTCGTACCAAACTTTCCATTGTTTTCTAAAGTGTTAGTGAATGGAGAAGGCACCCATCCAGTATTTCGCTATCTGAAGTCTCATCTACCAGCTCCAAGTGATGACAGCGAATCTCTGATATCAAATCCAGGTGCCATCATTTGGAGCCCTGTAAGAAGAACCGACGTATCGTGGAATTTCGAGAAGTTCTTAATTGACAGAAAAGGAAACCCAATCAAGAGATATAGTCGCCGTTTTGAGACCATCAATATAGTCAAGGACATTGAAAATCTTCTTTAATCTCAACTTCAAAAGATGACTAATTTGATCCGAGGACAATCATTTTATACATACAGCTTACATTGATTTGTGTTTCATGTTTCCATTTTTACTTTTGCTTACATATATATATATCTGAAATAATTGCAATGACTTGCAAATAACGATATACAGTGGTTAATTTTCATCTTCAACGAAAACTGTTACACTTCTGATTTCACTTTTATGATGACGTTACCAAAAACTTCTTTGAATGCCGGTGGTGTTGGATCCCCAGTGAACGTGTAATGTAATAGTTTTCGCGAATGTGAAAGTAACTCGAATGAAATAATAAACTTAATATAAACGTATTCTTATTTGTGTTACATTGTGTTTTCATACATGGGTATTTAAAGTAAGTATGGAATGGTACCACTATAAGTGATAAGACTTCCTTTACTTTTACCTCAAGGTTTTATATCATGCTGTTCAAAAAAAAAAAAAAAAAAAAAACTAGAGACCGAACTACTTTTCGCACAAAAATTAGCCATTTACCATTTGTTGATTTCTGTGGTTAAACAATTTTTATTGATTTATTCGGTTACAGATGGTGAAAATCACTTGTGAGATAGGAACATGTGGTTGTTCGGATGAACACTTTTATTTTTCATGAAATAATGCTTTAACGTGCATTCCCGCAAACATTTTTAGTTGAGTATTTTTCGTAAGATGTATTTTGTGACGGCTACAATACCGAATAATTGATACTTCGTAAACAAAATAGTTTGATAATTTTGTTGGCCCTATGTATTGGGTTAAATGCCCGGAAACAATGTGTACATCTGACTGGCAAATTCCAGGTTGTCCTCCATTAAACGTTCTGCCAAAGCTTGGTATTTTTTAAATTAAAAAAATCATCACATGATTTTTGTGAAAACGCTGGGGTGTCCTGGGATAAATGTACCACTGAGATTTCACTTGTGCGATTCCCCTGTCACTAAAACTAGGTTAAAGCGCGGTGGTCGTAGTGCAGCGCGTGTTCGAATTTCATGAAAATAAACAATGTATTTTACACGCGTTGTACACATCGCTATGAGTCCCATATTGAACAGGACGCGGCACGACGACTGCTGCCCTTTAAGGATTCTAGTAGTCGCCCAACACACTGCAATACATGTAGCAACAGTTCTGATGAATCCAAAGACTTCCACAGATACTTGCAGTGCATCTACCAGTAAAGACAATTGGCTCTCAGATGTGAATACAATTCCCTGGTCAATCTTCCCTCACGGAGTTTGAGTTTCAAGTCGGTCCGGGAGGTCTCAGTCCAGCCCTGACGGCCTACTCCTTTATGTGGCCCCGATTTGTTCGAATTTTAAGTCTAGTTTGAATCAATCAAGTTGCTCCACGCAGAATAACTGCCGTAAGCGAAAGCTATTTTGTTACACAAACGGGGGAACTGTCATGAATTTGTTTTCGCGTATCTGTTGACCGACTTAATTAGCTGATTATTAGCGAATTGCTGTGTTATGTCTGTCATCGTTTAGGTCTATTTGAAGTTTTGGACGGAACTTGGCTCAGTGATTTGGAACTAATTACAAGATACCGTCGCTATTCTGACATTCATAGTTATTAATGTAGTGAACGATTAATCAAAAGATATGACGTATTCAGTACTTAGTGTGATTGGCTTTATGATTGAAGGTTACGCCTTAGAGTCTTTTTACTGTTTTGTAATTGGTTAGAGTTTTGAAAATGAATAAAGAGAGTTTGAGTTGGTCTTGGCGAATACTCCACGACAGACGGAGTCCGAGAGAGTCCAGGGGCGAGCCTTGAGGCAGTCCAGTCTTGGGCGAGTCTTGGTTCAGCCTTGTGAGAGTCTTGGGGACTTTTCCCCAGGGCGCTGTGTCTGGTAGAGTGCTCGATTGACCGACTAAGACGAGAGTTGAAACGTATTTCGTTGTGTGTGCCTTATTTGACTGTAAAGTATAAGTGACTTTCACGATCCCGTACCTCAAGGGGACGAGATAGAGAGACGAGACGAGTTTCCCCCCCTGACAGTGTGGAGAACCCCGAGAGAAAGAGAATTTACCCCTGATAGAACCAAGTGTCTTCTTTAATTCCACGGCACTTAATTTCTACAAGCAATTTCACAAACTTGCCTGTAAATGCAACAAACAATTCCCAATTCCTAACAATAAATACAGCCTCCTTAATATTCAAAAACGGTAACTTTATTACATTATAAGAGTACAGCGATATCACAGTCTGTATAATTTTACTCGTATTGTTTTGAGAAAGTTGGTCACAAAGCGCATAACAATGTTTATTGGGTCTAGCCGAAATAATATCTCTCGAAATCTACATTTCTGATGAGATCACACATAACAGAAATGTCAAATAAATTGGTAATCTCACAAACTTATCTATTTCAATACAGAGCACGTTATGGTGACCTGTGTTTTTAGTCTCCATTCTGTAAATGGGTCTACTTCTTCAGTCTTCAGTCCGTAAAATGGTTTAAGTCTTCAGTCTACAAATGTAGTATGAATCAATCAACTTGCTCCACGCAGAATAAACAACTGCCGTAAGCAGAGGCTATTTTGTTACACAAACGGGGAACACATTCTAAAACATAAAAAGAATCCTTGAAAATTGTTTAAATCTTCAAGCTTATAAATTGATATAAATTGGTGTTGAAACTATTCGTAGCATCCACACAATATTCATGAAAGAAAAATTGGGACTGTGAAGGACTATCCATTTTCGCATTTGACTGACTCCAAGAGAGGGACAAGTCTAGATACTGTCGGCATACGCCCCTGTCACGTGATAGTGTCATTCGGAGTTTTAAATATAGTAATAAAAACACAAATTACATTTTGCCATGTTATTAATACACGAAGAGACACATTTAAAATAGACAGAATAAAATAACTACGTTAGTGTGAATTAATTTCCACCAGTTCGAGGTAACCATGTTGACTCAAACTTCCGGATGGTGTGGGGACCAGACTAGCAGGACAGCACATTTTGTCTGTTTGAGGGCGCATTTGTGTACCTAACCTAAAAATTTCAAGTAATTCGCAATTCTTTACTCAATTGTTTTACAATATGTTATATTTGTGATGGCACACAGAACTGTATTGTAAGAAAGATAGAATATGGTTAGAGGGGGCAATAGGGGATATAGCTGGTACAGGTTACAGGAAATAAAAAAGGCATTTTGCGTTTTTACAGGAAATACATTAAAAAATAGGTTTTTACACTTTACAGATAAAGCAAATTCCTAATTAAATTTTACATTTTCATAATATATTATATAATTTGTGTTTAAGAATCAAAATTGGAAAAATTGCGTACGAATTGTGACATTTAATGTAGAACTCTTACAAAAAATAATATCTTTGTACAAATTACGGACGAATGAAATACCGGATTACATTTTACACCTTGTCCATATCTACGAATTTACGTATTTTTATTTATCCAAATTGCAATATTACGAAAATAAAACAATTGATTACAGGTTACGTAAAATACCCCTTGACGACCCTCTGGTTATTTCAGGCTTGTGTCTGGATAAAAGAATTGCCAGCCCCAAATACCAATAGTAGCTGTTAACGTCCCTTCCATCTTAGAACAAAATTGGCGCCTACAGCAAATCTTAGGTTACACAATCATATAGCGCCACGCAATGATTACCTTTAACCTAATAGTATGCAATACCACGAATGCATGAGTCATCCATTATTCCACTAACGGACACCGTTAAAGGGTACTAAGCAATTTGTTATTGGGAAAACTATTCTTATACTACCAGCCAGGCCAAAACACTTGACTCGACGCGATGGCGTGTAAGTTTGCCGATGAGTTTCTGCACTGTACTAATTGTAGTGAATTGTACACTGGATTGCACACCGACATACTTCCGTGTCTGCCCAGCGACTGTGAGCAGTGTACAAACACACTGGTCGAGAAGACGGGGCAAACCATTCACTGTCATCAGTGTGGACGCACATATCTCATTAAGGTACCTGACTTTACGAATGAGACAGCAAAATTTGATTTTGATGAGTCAGCTAAATATTCAACATGCTCAGTGTGTAGCAAAGACAATGCACTTCATATGTGCATGGACTGTGACATTGCCATGTGTGCGTTGTGTGTTGAGGTACATGAGAAATTTCCCGCCATGCGTTACCACATTATAGCCGAAGTGGACTGTCAAAGTCCAAAGTGTACTCAAGTCTACTCAGTGCCATATTGCAGTCAACATGTTGACAATCGACTCAAGCTATACTGTGATCAGTGCGAGATAGCCATGTGTTTTGAGTGCAAAGTCCTCGATCACTACGATCACGAACATAGGTATATAGATGTCGCCGCTGCAGATTACAAGGCACGTCTAGAGGAAACAATTAAGATATTAAATATAAAGGAGCATGAACTAAGTGTGACTAAGGTGTCAGTGCAGAATGTGACCACTTCACTTGAAAACAGATTTAAAACTGAAAAGACAAGTCTTTTAGATCACATTGAATTAACAGTTGAAAACATCGTTAGCAAAATACAAGAGCAGGGAATACTGCTTGAAAATGAGATGGAAAGGGAGTATGATGATAAACACCATAAACTGGAAATACAGATGAATGAACTTGATATGTACGACAGTGATCTACAATGCGCACGAAAACACACACAAGAACTCATGCATTGTGCAAACCCATTCCAGCTGTTGTCAGCAAAGAAAGACATGGAATCAAAGATAAATAAAATAACGCTAACTGCAACAACACAGAGTCCATCAGAAGATGACTACATTGAATTTTGTCCTTCCAATGATTACTATGAAACGCGAATACTTGGAGAGGTAGTGAATAGAAGGCCATGCGAACAGAAAAGTGTCTCACAGATTGCAAGAGTCGGAGAGGAGGTCAATATCACCATGTCAATACCGAATGGTTGGCAGGGGTCCCGGCCTAGCAACATAGATGCTACAATGATGTCACAAGCGAAAAAGAAAGAAAAGGTTGAAGTTCTTGACAATAAAGACGGAACTTTGTTAGTGAGATACCGTGCTAACAGTATAGGTGAACATGAACTCTTAATACCAGCTTATAAGACACCTGTAATGTGTCCCCCAATTAGGATTAATGTTATGCCTAAAAAGGGATTGCTGTGTAAATTTGGTGGCAGTGGTTCAGCAGCAGGCCAATTGGGGTGTCCCTTGGGGATTGCATTGTCTACGTCTGGAAATATTTTAGTATGTGAGGAAATGAATAGGCAAATACAAGTATTCACTATAAACGGGGAACATGTAAGATATATTAAGTTTGATGATTTTGCTGAAGCATTCATTCCACTATATTTAGTTGCATCGCTTGATGGAACCATATTCATCACAGACTATGGTAACAAACAGGTCGTGGTGTGCGATGAGTTTGGTACGTTAGTTAGATGCTTTGGTCGAGATGAACTGAAAGATCCTCGTGGAATTTCAATTAGTCCGACCAATGAAAGAGTGTATGTGGCGGATTGGGGGGCTCATTGCATCAGGATGTACAGACAAGATGGTAAATATATTGCATCTTTTGGTTGTCATGGCGATGGGGATTTACAGTTCAAATGCCTGTGGGGTCTTGCAGTTGATATCAATGGGAATGTCTTTTCCTCTGATCGGAGCAAGCAATGTATCCAGGTCTGTGACAGCAATGGTATTTTTTTGTATGCCTTTGGAATAGAGAGCGGTTGTGAAAGTGCATTTTGGGATCCTGTTAGTGTGGCAGTTGACAAGGATGGGTATTTGTATATAACTGATAACAACAATGATAGGCTGTTTAAATGTGATTCACAAGGAAACTTTGTTAGTAGAATTGATTGTGCAAATGCAAGAACAGCTTGTCCATTCGGCATTTGCGTAAGTGATGACAAACCACTTGGTCATGTAATAGTCACAGATGAGACAAATTGTGTCAAAATATTTGCACAATAAATACCCGGTAGTTACTGATTGAATAAAGCCTAAACGTGGAGACCCAACGAAAGTAACCATGGTGTACGATCAGTCACACTTTCGCTCAAAACCATTCTTCTGATAGAAAAAAATCATTGGTTTGGAATGTTATACTTGTATGTTATAAATTTGATATTCACATTCCACACAAGTGACATATGCTCAATAAATGTTATTCAAAGTTGAGGCTTAACTTCAGGTTTACAAGTTTAAAATAGAACAAATGTTAAAAATTATGACTTGGAGCAAAATATTTGAATGTATGGTATGCTTTGGCAACTCAAAATTGTTACACATTTGTTGTATTTGCAATATCAGTTTAGTGTTTTTTGTTCAATAATTCAAATTTCAATATGATTTTTGATATTAAGGAAATTAGTGACCCCATACTCTTTGTTTTACTAATCAATGCAAGATACGTTTTATGTTTAACAATGTGCCTGTATAATCATTCTGCATTGTATTCTTAGTGAATTTACTTTTGCGACATTTTTCAATATATGAAAATAAATTCATTCAATATTTATACTGTTTTTCTGTCACTTCTTTTCATTATATAGATATTTTTGAGAAGAAAAAAGCATACCTAGACTGCGACTTTGAATCTCTATAAACAGACATTGACAGAAAAACAATCACATCAATGTTGTTACTGTGATAGCGACCCTAATGAGGTCTATACCACTAGAAAGAAATAGTGAACCATACTTTAAGTATGGTTTGATAAATATAGTAGAATTGTTGAAAATCAGAGTGGTTTTAGAAAGAAACGAAGCATATTAGATAATATGTTTATTCTGAGCACAATTATTGATAAATATGTATTTCATCTCAATAGTCGATTATATTGTGCTTTTATAGATTATGAAAAAGCATTCGATAGGGTCCACCATATTTCACTATTTTATAAATTAACAAAGGCAGGAATGAGAGGCAGACTATTAACAACTTTGTTCTCAATGTATATACATGTTAAGGCAGTAGTTAAAACCCCACAT